GATGATGCAGAAGGGCCAACATCAGAGGATCATTGAATAACCAACTCTCCCGCCCCGCTGCCGCTACTGCTCGAAAGCCTTTGGATCCCCTACAGGACTGTCATAAGCCCCTACAAGGAGTCAAAATCAAGCCGAAACCAGATACAGGAAGTGTTGACCTGGATCAATTGAGTGCGAGCCCTTTTATCTTGAGCTGATTCTCCTTATTTTAGAGCTGTGGCGAAGGTAAATTGAGCTCTGGCCTGTGGGGAAGGAAAAGGCTCTGACGAAGCTCCAGGGATTACAGGAAGGTTTAGGCCGCAGCTCCAAACGGTCAGAAAAGAAGATGGTCCCGCCCTTACTTCGGCTTGAGGAGTCGTTTTCTCGCTATCTTCTTCGTCTGGATTAGCCTTTTAGTAGCCTAGTAGGTTGTTTGAGTTTCAGGAAAGGAAGAGGTGCTTTCTAAAACAGCCGTTACCGCTATGTTTTTTTTCAATAAGTTCTTTTAGAGCATCGTGCCCCACTGTCCGAATAAAGTGTGCGCCTAAGGTGTCATGTGTTTAAGAATATACGTCTAATAGAAATACTTTCCCAATCCGTATAAGAGGAAAGAAGGGTCCGGCAATAAGCAGTAGAAGAATAACCCGCAGAAGAAGTTTAATCGCTTCCACAGATCGGAGCCAGACAAAGATAAGACTCCACGGCGGCACGATCGGGATGATCAGGTCAAAAATGAGTCAAAACTTGTAAAACCCCGGTTTTGGCCTTGTTACTAAGGAGAAATTGACATACTTAGCAAACAGAGATAGAATTATTTCAAAAAGAGATCAGGAAAGAGCCATTTCCCAACCAAATAAAACAGGAAAGCATGAGGCTCGAAGCCCTTTCTCATTTCGAATTTCATCTTAGTATCGGTAATGCCCCGCCCAAAAGTATTTCATCGCAATCACACGCTAGCTTGGTTGGAAAAGCTCGTTTGCACCCACTAACTAATACCTTCTCGTCAGTATGGAATTCTCCATGCTTTCGCCTTGCTTTGTAGTCATTTTCTATGAGTAATCGGTCCGAACTCAATTTCAAGAAAAAACTCTATCTCGCCTGTGGCCAAAAGTAGTGAAAATGGTATTTAGCTTAGTCAATATACAACACAACTGCTGATTCTTCGCGAGATGAAAACCCTTTGTCCTCCGTCTGCAGGGGCAATTCCTGAGAAAAGTGCTACTAGCCCTTGTTTTGGTCATGTCCACAGGCCTTCCCATTCGTCTTTATTCGTCTTTCTTCCGGCAATCTATGCATAATTATACTTCTTGAACCACCGAATCCGCTTTTGAAAATGGATAACTAGCTCCATTCTGCGTCAAGTACTAAGGATGGGCCCAAAGAACACTTTTGAAAGGCATCGGTCACCTTAAAAACCCCAAAAGTAGGAAGTCTAGCGTGCTTCTTTAGTGCTGCTCTTCGATCAGATGCTTTCTCATTGAACGAGGCATATTAAAGTGAACGAAGTTCCAGGTCGAGTCCCGAGAAGGTGATAGTTGATTTTGATCATGAAGTTGGCACTGGACTTTGGAATTGATTCTGGACCCCCACCTGCTCAGGACGCCCCGCCTGCTCAGGACGATCCCAATACGGATTTTCTGGAGGGGGACACGCTTGACCCAGCGCAAAAACGGGAATTCAGAAATATTCTGAATTTCATGAAGACCAAAAGCAGAACGAACCTTCAAAATGAGCGAATCGTAATAAAAAGATGTTGGGGGGGCGAGGGTAGTAGTTACGAATCCAGGGCAATCAACCACTATCTAAAAACCCAGGTTGGACAACTGCGTGCTGGGGGATTAGCAGGGGATTTTGTCGTAAAGGAATTACGGAAATGGAAAAGGGACTTCAAAGCTCAGAAGAGACGGTCCCACTTCTATCAGGGCCTTCTCGGGGTCTTGAGCAATGTTAATTTGCATTGATTGCAAATAGGGTGCGGGATTCTCTGACGCAAACAAAGAAATGGTCCCAGAGAAAGGAATCAGTCTCTTCAGTCCGGCGCATGCCTCAAATTCATTTTTCCTTTGAATTACTCATTTTTTTGAATTTCGCACCAGAAACTTTTCTAGGAGAAGTTCGAATCCGTTCCGTTCGGATATTGATCGGTCTTGGTTTGACATGGTTTACGCGTTACTGGTTCCCGGAAGAGTCAATTTCTCCATTAGCTAAACCCTTTATTACCCTACCTTTGGACTCGTATTTTGTTTGTACACAATCAACGGAGGCCCCCCCGACATATGTTGGAACGTCTTCAATAGCATGCTCTTACTTCGTCTTTCCCTTAATAAGTCATCAAATTTGGTGCTTTTCGATCCCCAGTTGCTATGGGGAACAAAGGCAGAAATACAATAGAATCCTCCATTTAAGTGGTTCTCGCTTCTCCTTGTTCCTGCTCCTAACTCCTCCCCGGGTAGTTCCCAATCTTTGGCACTTTCCATACTTCGTGAGTGCAACATCAACAAATTCGCTCATGATCAAGTTACAACCTAAGATCTATGACTATATTATGTTAACTGTTCGTATTTTTTTCATTCCATCGGTATGCTCCCAGGTACCTGTAATTGTGATCTGTTTGCCAGAACCAAGGGGTCTTTCTGTGGAAACCTTCACGAGAAATCGTCGTTTTTTGATGGTTTTTCCGCTTTTCACAGCTGCTCTTTCCACACCCCCGGATATCTGGTGCCAAACCGTCGCCCCTTTCCTTATATATTCGATAATCGAGTTTGCTATCTTTGTGGCATTGATTGTACAAGTTCGTGAAGAGGGTTGGACGAGTAGAATGAGGGAAAGCGGCTCGATCGAGAAAAAAGAGGAGTAGACTAGAAAACCTAGAACTTCAAAAGTCACTATCAATGAATTCCCGAGCAATTCTAAACCAACATATGCTCCGTATAGACGGAATCTCAGATAAGAACCTAACAGAAGTTTCGCGACTCCTTCATGGAATATAGGTCTTAGTATATAAATAATGTCAGTTCGAACCTGACGAGTCATTATCATCTCTTGCCCTAACTGAGTCCATTAGCTCTTGTTGCCCTTCTATGGTGGGGATCCATAGAGAGTTCGTTTTATGAAATATCTGATAAAGTAAAAAAAAGAGAGAGACAGGTGGTTGCAACAATCACAAACCATAGAAAAAAATGCATATCCCGTGTGTGCTCTAGTTTCGGGTTCTCCTAGACCACCATTATGAACCAAAAACAACCATACCTAGTGAAGGGGAGCTCTTCGCAGCTGTCAGTGGAAAGATGGAAATTGGTTCTAAAAGAGCCGAGCTAGGGATAAGAGATATGGTTGGTTGGCAGAATGGAAGGAATGCTATTCTAACGGGAACCGGGAAAAGAATGGTTCCCAATACAAGGCCCGAAGAAGAGAGACGAAAGGAAGTAGTGAAAGAAGAAATAAAGTACGCGGATCAAAGTGAAAAATCACATAGCTACTAAGTCAAAACGTCCAATGAGAATGGAGATCAAGAGGGACATGAAATCCATTAGCAGCTCTATCAGTTATTTCATTATTAGCATTCCTTAACCAATAGAAAAAGAAAGAGATCACAAGCGTTATCAGTCTCCAGACGCATCTATCTATAAAAAGGAGTAGGGCACCTGATATGAGATACATACTGGAGTCAAGGATTGAGACCACTAGTGAGAAGGCCAATAAATCATTTTTTTGTATCAGAAGGGAAAGAAGGACCATCCATTGGCAAGCACTAAAGGTAGGAATCTAGTGGCTGCTGCATCAAGCTCCATCCATGATTTTACACTCTAGAGGAGAGAACTGCTGTGAGCCAGCTTTGTAGCGACCTTTCTTATGCGGAAGCAAAACCTGTATTTCTATACGAGTTTCCTTCAGTTGCTTAGGGTGAGCAAGCCCATAATATTCCATTTATATTCTGTCTCCCTTTTCTATTGGAGTTACATAGGAGTGGTCCATAGGGGGGGCACTAGTTACTGGTTGGGAACCATCGGTCCATAGGCGTGCGAATAGGGGTCCATCCAGTTTATTCTTTTGGGGTTGTGTGTGGGACTTTCCTCTTGATGTGGAAAAATAGGCTCTTAGGGCATATGCTGCCTTTACCGGAAAAAGAAAGTCAACGGACTTCATGGACGAGGAGGTGGAGGATGAATGGTATGGCTTGCTCACTTGCTTAAAAACTTATTTTCAAAAATAAGGAGACAGAATATAAATCTCCGAATGAAGAAAAGCATATTCTAGTATTTGCCCATAAGCTTATTCAAAATAGGAGTGCTACATAAGCATATGCTAAAGGGGGAGGAATCCATTTATTATTTCTTTCTTAGCCTGGGCCCAACTATGTACAGAAATCTATCTATTATTGCCTGCATCGACAGCAAAGTAAACTCTCGCTGATGATAGAAGAACAACTCTTAGGGCAGTTGCAAGGAAACTATGAGCTATTTATTGTTCCTTTCTTAGAAAAAAAAAGATAGAGGATGGCTTATGGTCTATTTTCTTACTTGACTATCCTGCCTGACTTGGCCAATAAAAGATACCTAGCATGACACATCAGCTACGCCATCTGAGCCTGTCCACTTGCTAGGTTGAACGTCTTGGTTGGGGCTGTTTGGCGGCGGCGATGTCCCTCCGTAGCAATAATGTCTCCCACGTCCTATCTCCGTCCCGATGGTGCGAATAGCGTTGTCGGAGGATGTGTGGAGGTGTGTCTCCGTCGGATCTCATGGGATTCGGTCGGTGCTGGTCTTCGGTGGATCTCTTTGGATCCAGTTTTTGTTTGTCTTCGTTCGTGTGGTTCCAGGTTTGATCTTTCCAATCTACAACTCTCTTCATCGGCGATGGTTGCTGCTCCGGTGTGTTGGTCCTTTGGGGCCTTAGCACGACGACTTCCCGACTGTCTACTACAACAAGGTTTGCCCGGCTCCGGTGATGGAGGGGTGATGACGGCGGCGCGCCTTCGGCTCGCTCCAGTGCTTGTAGTCGTCGCTAGGTGGTCCATAGACCTAGTTGTAATTTTTATTATCTCTTGTGTTCTCTGTACTGCCATGATTGATGAATAGATTGGAAATTTCTCTCGCAAAAAAAAAAGTCTTGATAGGGCGGTGCACGTGACCGAAAGTACCAGAAGAGATGGCAGACGAGACTTTTAACTAGGTTCGCTGTCGGGGGCGTTTCACGTAACAGCATAGGTGAGGCTGTAGCTGGTACAGCGAGCTATTTTGCAGTGAGGCCTTTGCTCTGATGAAAGGGATCGAGCTCATTGAGACGTTGGGGTGCACAAATGTTAACATTGAGTCCGATTCTTTGGAGTTGATCGGTGCATGCAATGGAGAGTTGGAGATCTTCAGCCCCTACTCTGCAATTTTGGCACTGTTTTGCGAAGGCCCAGTTCATCCAAGGAATCGCCTTTTAATCATTGCCCCAGAGAGGCCAACCGAGTAGCTCGTCAGCTAGCAAAACATGCATATGATAATCATTCAGATTTTATTTGGGATGGTGATCCACCCTCTTTTCTTTTACCATATGTATTAAACATGTATCTTTGTTGGCTGAACAATAAACACCAAGAGGTTCCCCGTTCAAAAAAAAAAGGATGCAAAACAAAAATGGAACAGATCCCCATACTGCATTCACTGGTCAGGATAGAAGGAGCAGCAGTGCTCGGGCGAAGAAACTCCATGTCTACACCTTGTAAACTCTTTAATTTGATGCACTGCGTACCCTCAGGAAAAGGAAAAATGGAACAGGCACGGGGAGACAATGAATGGTGCAATACACGATGAACTGTCCACTTCTTCAGCAATTACAAAGGGGTTGTTTCCTGAGGTTTGACACAATTTTCTAAACTTTTCAGCCTTGTGGGCAACAACTTTATCCAGTGAAGGCTGCCTGAACCGATTATTCCAAATAATTAGCATCAAACGCTTCAAAATTCTTCAGTAGCGCGCGCCAATCACCGCACCTCTGGGTGAATGCCCAGTCTGATTTGCGCGCAGCTACAAGATTACACTACATGAGATGACACTCTGGCCAGGTCCCAGTCTGAATGAGACTATTTGAGTCTGTCATCTTCTCTATGACTTCTCTTCGTCTGACTGAGTCCCATTGATGGCGTCGGCGAAGTACTCAACTGGAGATAATACCACAAACCATTAAGTCAGGCATGATGATCAATTGACACTTCACGGCCGACAGAAATCACAAACACAACCAAAATTACCTATGTCATCATTATGGTCTGGGGAATCAAGTAAGAGGTCCGAGTCCGAGGGCAGGAAAGGGGTACCTTCGTAGTTCTCAAGAGCCTCCAAATCTGAACATGAATGTGGAATACAACAGTGTGATTATAAATTTAGAATGACAGGCAAATAGGACACAAAATAAATCTGAAAGTACAAATGTTGTGTTACTTGACAGCAATCAGAAGCAGAGAATTAGCTAATCAAAGTAGGCTGTGTGTTCAGCTTTTCATCCTGAGTAGATCACAGTTTCATTTTTCGAAGAGCTGGTTATCAAAAGAAATACTATCAAATAAATTCAAACTACCAAAGCCAGAAGGTCACCTCCTAAACTTGTCAAATCAGCTGTAAGATCAGAGAGGCTGAAATTCCAGAGCTGCCCCAAGGATCGGATGGAATCCCTTGACGACCCATCTGGCCCTAATTGCAGAGGTTCTGTGTTCCCTATGTCAGATCCAAATGCTGAATCTAGCATCGATGTATCCATGGCCATCCCTGGTATTTCCGACGGAGTGAAAGGAGCATGGTTGCTTGATGCTGCCGATGAGGGACTCACAGCCATCTCAGATGACATGGCACCATTATGTGCAACTTCAGGTGCACCGTTGTCAACAACCATGCTTCAGGCAACATCAGGTAATCAGGTTAAGATAATATTAGCCATGAATGTGAATAGCAAGAGCAAAAGAAAAAAGAATACACGATTATGGATAAGACTATTTGCAGGACAACAAGTCAGAAGGCTGCAATCTACAATCCTAATTACATTTGCAGCAATAACAGCTTAACGTACATTGGTTAAAAAAACATGTTCAAGCAACATCAGATTACATCATGTGAAACAGATATATGGATAACAACAAAAATGAACAAGATACTTTTCTAGTGACAAGTACCTTCCATGAAACATTTTTAGCAGAAGAATGATTAAAAAAACAATCAATAAATAAGCATCGTAGTTAAAGTACATACATAAGTGAATAACATCCTGTGACATTATACCAAAGAATCAACCACTTGAGTAAGCATTTGCTCCCTGGCAGTTTGACAAGTGCAGCAACAAAAATAACTGTATGTGCCTTACCTCAGTATGTGTATATGCAGGATGTGCTACAACTATGTGGACAGAAGCAACATTGAAGATAAAATGTTTCAAGCTTTCAATGTGCATACATAGAGAGAAAATGATTTGCCAGACGAAAATATTATCAAGAACATGATTAAGGGCTCCTTTGATTCAAAGGAATTCTATAGGATTTCTGGAGGATTGAAATCCTTAACAATTTTTCCTATGTTGGTCCTTTGATTCATAGGATTGTATCACATAGGATTTTTTCCTGTGGAATTTTTTGTTCTACATTTCATAGGAAATCTAACATCCACCCCAACCTCTTTTTACAATTCCTTTGCTTTTCCTGTGCCATCAAACACTTCATGCTAATCCTGTAGGATTCATTTGTGCATGCCACTCCAACCCTATACTTTTCCTATTCCTACATTTTGAAAATCCTATGAATCAAAGAGGGCCTAAACCAATATATCCCACGTGAAGGAAAAAAGAACATGGTTAAACTGATAAAGATAATGCTTACTCGTTTCCGGAGTTCATGCGAATTGGTTGATAGCCACCTGGTGCAGGGATCCCATTCACCACATGACCGCTGGATAGACCACAAACCATCGGATCAATGCGAGGCTGGCCGGGAGCAGGCATCAGAGGTTGCTGAAGTACTGGATACCCCATCGGTAGATTGTTAACTGCACCAGATTCGGACTTGCGTTCAATAACAATGATAACGATACTTTTATAAATGTCTAAACCAGTCGACGATTAAAGCTAAACCTGAAACTTGTCTAAATCATGCTAAGGATAATATGCACCATGAAACTCAGTACAAGTGCAGAAAAACCCCATCATTTTAAGACCTTTACTCCTATAGATAGAGATATCATTACAGAGTCTTCCCATACCCAGCCAACACTACTGCAATAAATGATGGATAATATGGACCCGAGAAAGAAGAGGGCGAGCATAGTTGCTTATGATGATAATACATTTTGATATAAGATGTGGACTTGCAAAATCCTTTCAGTAGAATAAAGTGAAAGGGGAGAAAAATATCTGATAGAAAAAGTAAACTGTAGTAAAAATAACAGCTAAGGAGAAAAGGCAGCATATATTAGAAATCTTAAACTACAATGTACTTGTTTAGCCTCTTTTGAGCACTAGACATGTAAAACATGGACATTACCTGGCATAGGATGCATCCCATTTTGCATTGGAGCCAGTGGAACGTTCGGATGTGCTGGATATTTCATCAAATTACACTGGTGCTGCAACAAATGGTTGAACAAGATAATCTGTCTTTTCAGTTTCAATCTTATATAGTAAGCCCGAAAGAATTCAGGGTTCTCTTCTTCAAGTTTCTGCCATACTGAAAATACAAAAAATATCAAGAAAGTAAGCAGAAAGACTTCAGAACTCCAATAGATTTATATCTAGATACTTGAGGTTCAAGAAACATAGTATAAAAGAACTTGAGCTCAGAGAGGATTTAAGATTTTCCGTCTGTCGTGAGAAATTACTATCCATGTAGGTATCGATGATCATAGGTCAGTACAGGGCTACAACTTCATTATATCAAGCTAATTTGTTCATCAATCTGATGGGCAGGATTTGTGCATACTGTAGTAGTATTACCGGTGTGCTCTGAATTACATGAAAGAAGCAAACAGATAAATAAACTAGTAAGTACAAAAAAGAACCCCAAACAGGAATATCATCAGCAACTGAATTTGCAACATATTACCTAAAGTTGTGAAGCCAGGTTCTATTCTCGCACGAGCAGAAAGTGTCCTAACAACCTCTCCTTTGGTCATGTATAGCTGCAGACAGCGCTCTATTAAATTCTGGACCTGCAGCAGGATGTCAAGTTTCATTAATTAATTGACAAGAGTGTGGAACACCCACTGTAGAGGTATGCAATATGGTGATAAATTAGCATTAAAAAAGCTGAAGACTACAGAACAACAGCTAGACATCTTACAAGTTCAATGTCTTCGCGGGAGACTTTTCTATTATCATTACTAGCGACTGTCAAAGAACTAGGATCTCCTGCAGGAGCATCAGTGGCCATTGTGTTTAGTTGGTTACTTTGCACGTCATTGGTACCTTGGGGTGACATCTGCAGCTCTGTCGTGCTCTGAATATCCTGTAGGAAATTTGCATAAGTAACATAAATCAATCACCTGCTAAAGACAAAACAAAATGGATGCTAATACTGAAAACAGTATCAGTCAATTATGAGTGCTATTAACAAGAAAAAAAATATGCCTTGGCATTGAGATAAGTTTCTCTAATATTAGAGGTGACAACGGTATCTTGACTGGTCAAGGTACCACTAATGCTGAATAACAGAGAACTGTAGGCTAAAGAAAGTGTCGCAGCAGTACCTCATATTCTTGATATTAAGCGCAAATATTATGTGTTCAATGCTTAATCCTATATTGACCCGATAACTATAGACGTGTTGTGCTACCAATTACCGATAAAAGCTGTAGCAAAATTCCGGTTCATATGCAATGCATAATGTATAATTATATTATTACTCTCTAGTCTAGTAAATAGAAGTTCTACGCACTTCCACCATCTGATTAGACTAACCAGACAAATTTTTAGTATCAAAGATAAAAATAATTACAAATAGTATTTTCATCAACTGAAAATAGCAAGCAAATTCACCTGAGAATCCTTCATTGCAGTTTATCTGCTTATCACATACAAGAAATAGCTAAATCCAGGATCAATGCTTATCCTGATAGGAAAAATATATCGATGGTTATGCTAGAATGCATGCAAATGGTGTTACGTTTCAGACGGGAAGAAGTTAAAAATAAACATCAAACAGTTGCAGTGCGCTCTAAAATAGTCTTGCTGGAAATAGCTTTCCCATTTATTTCACTGTAGACTAGGAAGCTGATGATTTTCAAATTTGTTGTTCCGTAAAAAGGAATTAAAATAATTGCAGTGACATCATAGAGAGAATGAAGTATGAGGTCCTTCAAGGTATAAGGAAACAAGTAGTATTGATATTCTACTTCAACAAGTATGGCATTATGGCTGTCAAGGACCTCGGTGCCCAAGACAGCAGGACCTCGACTACGTAGTTCGTAATCTCGGTTGATAGGAGCGCTAGGGTTTTTGCCTAACTGCTCAATGGTGCAGGAGGAGAGATTAGGAGTAGAGGAAGAGGTAGGAGATAATGATTTATTGCTTGCGTCCAAGGGTGCAGATTACAGGATATATAAAGGCCTTATGGGCTTCTAACAAACTAGGAGACTAACTACTCCTGGACTCTAGGAACTAACGTAGGATCAAGACTAACTACTCCTGGACTCTAGGAACCAACGTAGTATCAGGACTCCTTGCCCCGATCATGCCTCGTCAGCCGTGGCCGTCGGCTGCTGCTCCTGGGCGCGCGACCCGCGCCTGTACGCAGCGCCCCACATGACATCTCTCCCCCCCTCGACCAGCAGCTCGTCCTCGAGCTGAAAAGCGGGGTAGCGCTCGACGAAACTGTCAAGATCCTCCCATGTTGCCGATGACGCAGCCTCGCCCTTCCAGTGGACAAGGAGCTGGCGAACGCCGCGTGCGAGGCGTGAACGAGTCACGCGTTCTGGTTCCGGGACAGCCGCACCGTTGTGGATTGGAGGCAAACCCGGCGGTGAAGTTGGAGGCGTGCCGAAGAACTTCTTGAGGAGGCCCACGTGGAACACATCATGGAGGCGCGAGCGCACCGGTAGCTCAAGGCGGTAGGCGACGTCGTTGACGACCTCGGAAATGCGGTATGGCACGTAGAAGCGTGGCTTGAGCTTGCCCCTGGTTGGCAAGTTGAGAGAAGATGCGGCGCGCTGGCGAAGACGAAGCCACACCCAATCGCCCACTACATGCCTGACGTCGCGATGGCGTTTGTCGTAGTAGGCCTTGTAGACCGCCTGCGCCTGCTGTAGTCGATAGCGGACATCAGCGAGTAACTCGTCTCGCTCCGCCATGCTTTTTGCCACGGCCGCCACCCTCGTGTCGCCTGGCTCGTAAGAACGAATAGTGGGAGAATCGCGGCCATACACGAGCTTGAACGGAGTTTCTTGGGTCGCCGTCTGGTAGGCGGTGTTGTAGATGTACTCGGCCCAGGGAAGCCACCGTAGCCACTGGCGTGGACGATCCCCTGTGAGGCAACGCAGGTACATAACAATGATCTTGTTAGCAGCCTCCGTTTGGCCATCCGACTGAGGATGAAACGCCGACGTCATGTGCAGCTTCGTCCCGGTGAGGCGCATGAGCTCCCGCCAAAACGCCAAGGTGAAGACGGGGTCGCGGTCCGAAACCATGGACTGTGGAACGCCATGGAGGCGCACGATCTCGGTGAAGAACACCTGTGCCACCGACTCTGCCGTGTACGGGTGGGCCAACGCCACAAAGTGGCAGTACTTGCTGAAGCGATCCACCACGGTGAGGATGACGGACTTCCCGCCCACGCGAGGGAGCGCTTCCACGAAGTCGATGCCGACGTCAGTCCACACGTCCGTGGGCACCGGCAGCGGCAGCAGCAGACCGGCGGGGTGCAAGTGCTCGGACTTGTACCTCTAGCAAGTACCGCAGGCGCGGACGTACTCTTGCACCGTCTTGCGCAGGTTAGGTGCGTGGAAGTCGCGGCGGAGACGATGCAGGGTGCGCAGGATGCCTTCGTGCCCGTCGTCGTGCACTGCGGTGAGGAGCTCCTGGAGTAGCGGGGATGACGGCGGAATGTAGAGGCGGCCGTTGAAAGTGACGAGGCCGTCGGAGAGCGACCACGGCTGCTGCCGCGTACCCGCCGTGATATCCTCACGCAGCGCGACGAGCGCCGGGTCGGTTGACGTAGCTTGCCGGAGGCGATCGATGAAGTCGAAGCGAGGACCCGATATCGCCATGATCGACGTGTCCTCCGTGTCGCGGCGGGAAAGGGCGTCCACCACCGTGTTTGTACTACCGGCCTTGTACTCCACGGTGAAGTCGAACCCCAGTAGTTTGCCGACCCAATGATGCTGCGGAATGGTTGCCAAACACTGGTCAAGTAGGAATTTGAGACTGTAGTGATCCGTTTTTACCACAAATTGGCGCCCCCAGAGGTATGGTCTCCAATGACGAATAGCGAGCACCAGGCCGATGAGTTCCCGTTCATATGCTGCCAGGGAACGATGACGTGGCGCGGCCGGCCGGCTAAAGAAAGCCACCGGGTGCTGGTCCTGAAGAAGGACGGCCCCGAAGCCGTATGTAGAGGCGTCACACTCGACGATGAACGGCCGTGTGAAGTCCGGCAACGCGAGGACGGGAGCCGTGGTGACCGCCGTCTTGAGGGCGGTAAAAGCTGCTGCCGCCTCCGGCGACCAGGAGAAACCATCCTTGCGAAGGAGGGCCGTCAGTGGCGCGGCAACCACGCCAAACTCCTTGACAAACTTGCGGTAGTACCCCGCAAGGCCGAGGAACCCCCGGACCGCGCGCGCCGAGCGTGGCTGCGGCCATTCGGCCACTGCCTGCACCTTTTCCGGATCCATGGCCACTCCTGCAGCGGAGATGGTGTGACCCAGGTAGGAGATCGACTCGACGGCGAACGCGCATTTGGATCGCTTGACGAAGAGCCGGTGCTGGTGCAGGACGGTGAAGACGGTGCGCACATGTCGGAGATGGTCTGCCCACGTCTCGCTGAAAATGAGGATGTCGTCAAAGAAGACGAGAACGAAGCGGCGCAGGTACGGCCGTAGCAGATCGTTCATGAGTGCCTGGAACGTTGTCGGCGCGTTGCAGAGGCCGAACGGCATCACCAGGAACTCGTAGAGGCCATCGTGGGTACGGAAGGCGGTCTTTGGGATGTCCTCCGCACGCATCCACACCTGGTGGTAGCCGGAGCGCAAGTCGAGCTTGGTGAAGAAACGAGCGCGCCGGAGCTCATCGAGGAGTTCGTCCACCACCGGGATTGGAAACGCATCCTTGATGGTAATGGCGTTTAGGGCGCGGTAGTCGATGCAGAAGTGCCAGGACTCGTCGGCCTTGCGGACCAGCAGTACCGGCGATGAGAATGCGGAACAACTCGCTCGGATGATGCCCTGGGCGAGCATGGCGGCGCACTGACGCTCTAGCTCGTCCTTGTGCGCGACCGGGTAGCGATACGGACGGACGGCCACCGGGGCGGAACCGGGCAGCAGGGTGATGCCATGGTCGCGACTGCGGGGTGGTGGCACGCTGGAGGGTTCGGCGAAGATGCCGTCGAACTCGGTGATGATGGCGTCGAGGAAGTCGCGGCCGCTGCATGATTTCAGGGCTGGTCCGTCCGGTCCTGCAATGCCGCGCCAGCACACCCGATGGCCCCTCCGCCAGAACGTCATGGAGAGAGCGCGGAAATCCCACAGGATCGGTCCAAGCGTCGCAAGCCACTGTGTGCCCAGGACGACGTCGTAGCCCGCGAGCGGCAAGGCGAGGAAATCCTCCGAGAACGCCTCTTGGTCGATGCGGAAGGGCACGGCGCGGTATGCGCCCTAGCACGGAACGCGCTCGCCGTTGGCCACCGTGACGTGCATCTTCTCGGTGGTGGGGGATGGCAGCGTAGCACGAGCGGCCGCCTCCTCGGCGATGAAGTTGTGGGTGGAGCCTGAGTCGATCAGGGCGAGGAGGGAGACACCCCCGAGGGTGATATGCATCTGCATGGTCTCGCTCGTGCGCACGCCGGAGATTGCGTGGAGCGAGATCTGAGGGTCAGCCGGCGAGGCATCAGCGGTGGTGGAGGCCGTGTCGTCGTCGTCGTCGTCCGGCGCCAGGTCGAGGAGAAAGATGCGCTGGCACACGCGGTTGTGGCCCCTGCCAAACTTCTCATTACAATTGAAGCATAGGCCCAGGCGACAGCGTTCCTCCATCTCAGCCTGTGACAGGCGTTTGATTTGGCGCCCTTCCAGCAGACTAGGGGCATGCTGGGGTGCGGCTGGTGGAGCCGGTGCGGGGGGCGCGAAGCGTGGTACGGGCGTCGGCAGGATGCCCTTCTGCTGAAAACGCACCGGTGGCGCGGAGGCGAGCGTGCACTGGTCGCGCAGCTCCAATTTGCGGGCGAGGCTCATGGCGACGGCGAGGGACTGCGGGTTGTGGATTTCCACGTCGAGG